AGCAGTGGACGGACGCAGAGACATCCGGTGCGTGCCAGGGACAGGAGGAGGACGCTCACGCGAACCACGACCACTAGCGCGAGCAGCACGGACAGGCGACGCAGGGCGAGACGCAGGCTCACGACGCTCAGCAAGACCTCCAGTAGGACCAGTGTAGGGAGAAGGAGCAGGCAGTGGGTAGGCGGGCTGTAACTGTAACTGCGACGGGACAGGCTGTGGAAACTCTAAGGGAGGAGGAGGACCAGTAGAAGGCGGGAGACCAAGAACCTGCTCAAGGAGCGGAGCGAAGTACGGCCGAGGCCGCGCGGCGACTCCAGACACAGCAGGGTCAGCACCAGTACCCGTAGTGGCAGGACCAGCGCCAACAGCACCTCTAGCTCTAGTACCCCTAGAAGCTCCAGTAGCTCCAGGACCTCCAGCAGCACCAGTAGCACCCCGAGCAGGACCGCCTCCAGTACCGCCAGCAGTAGTCTCAGCGCTAACTCCCTCAGCTGCTCCAGCTCGAGTCGGACCACGAGAAGACGCAGTGGCTCCAGCTCCAGTAGCTCCAGTACTCCTAGTACTAGCACCCCCGGGACCCGTGGCACCAGCACCCTCAGCAGCCGAAGCACCTCCAGCTCTAGCAGCACGCGTCCAGCGCTGGGCAAACCACTCACGCACCTCCTGTGGAGAGAGTGGCTCCCGTCGAGACGGAGCACCCAGAGAACCTCCAAGCCCAGCACCCCCAGACGCCACACGAGCAGGCCCAGCTCCCTCAGGCTCCGCACCCCCAGGCTCAGCACCTCCAGGCGTAGCACCCCCAGGCTCAGCACCCCCAGTCGTAGCACCCCCAAGCTCAGCACCCCCTGACTCAGCACCCCCAGGCTCACCACCCACAGTCGTAGCACCCTTAGACTCAGCACCCCCAGACTCAACACCCCCAGGTGTAGCACCCACACGCTCAGCACCCCCAGGTGTAGCACCCACACGCTCAGCACCCCCAGAGTCAGCACCCCCAGGCGCAGCACCCCCAGCAGCACCAGAGTCACCAGCGACCTCGACAGCCTCGAGTGCGTCTACCTGGGACACACCTGAAGGGGCAGGACCCTGAGGGGGAAGGGGGTCTACTGGGGGGGGACCTGGCACAACGCAGACGCATCGCCAACCTTCCCCGTCCACAGCAAAGTTGGGGAGGTCTCCGGCATGGAGACCCTGGGCTGAAGGTTGATCTGATGCGCCGCGTACCGAACCGCAAACGGCCACAGAAAATGGGGGGCAGCCGCATGCATCATGGACGTACGGGCGACGTCCATAACCATGCCTATGCGGCGCTCAGCAATCCTATTTTGCTGTGGAGAGTCCGGAAGCGTGAAGGTCTGGCGGATGCCTCATGCACGACAGTAGGCTCGCAAAAGGCCAGAGGAGAACTCTCCGCCTCTGTCGGAGTGCAGACGCAGAACAGGAAAGTCCGAGCTTAAACTCGTATTGAGCTGGAGACGAGCTGCGCGGATCCAGTCGATCAACACCCCAGTGACATCACCCTTGCCGCGCAAGGGGAGGACTGTGGTGTAACGCGAATAGTCGTCAACCACCAGCAGGAAGTAGCGCTCGTGACCCTGTCCACGGACGCGGGCCGGGCCCCACACGTCCATGTGAAGCGTCTGCAGCGGGGCCTCTGTCGGAGGTAACTGAGAGGAGTGAGGGGCAGCACGCTGCCGCCCCTCGACACAGGGGACGCAGGTATGGGCAGGCCCCGGAGGAAGGGGAGGGAGGGACCGGGGAAGACCAGAGACAAGGACACGGGAGGCCATGCCTCGGAGATGAAGCAGGGAGGGGTGACCAAGGCGGTGGTGCTAGAGGAGAGTCTCGTGAGACAGGAGGCGACACGAGCAGGGGGCAGACTCAGGACCAGACCTGGACGCTGCAGCAAATACCTGACCCGACGCAGCTGCTTGACCAGACGCAGTGACTGGAGGAGACTTAGTGGTCAATGTGTACAGGCTCGACCCCAGCCAACGTGTAAACGTGGCCAAGTGTCGGCCTGTCCGAGCGTCCGTGCAGTGGGTCACTCGCTGGCTCGCAGGAGTGAACTGGTGAACCCCTGCATCCTGTAGGTCAGCACCACTCACCAAGTTCATAGAGAACGAGGGGAGGTAAAGACCAGACAGGGTGCCAGAGGGGGCCGCCGGACATGGGAGGATAGTGGAGAAGTGAGCAAGGACAGGACCCCCAGAGGGGTCTGCCAGAGAGATTGCAACTTGCCGACCAAGCGGCGTGAGTGTGGTGCGGTCTCGAAAGAAGGAGCGAGAAGCCCCCGAGTCAAGGGTGAAGGTGTGGGAGGCCGGAGCCGACGTAGTACATGAGAGAGCAGACTCACCAGCACCTGAGGAAGCAGATGCACTGGCACCTAGAGCAGCAGCCTCACTAGCACCTAGAGCAGCAGCCTCACTAGTACCTAGAGCAGCAGTCCCAATGCCCGGGTCGGGCGGAAAACACCGGTAACAGCCCCCCTCATCACTAATAGTCACAGCATACATGGCAGCAAGAATAGCATCAAATTCAAGGTCAAAGATAGCTGCTCCCGCCCTTGACAGCTCGCCCCAGCGAGGGATCTCAGTGGCCTCAGGGAGCTGGTGATGCCAAGCGTCCGTCAGGCGGCCAAAGCAACGCTGGGTGGAGTGCGCACCCTCGCACGGCTCACCCGCACGGTCGCCGGTGCGTAGGACGTAGGTGCACGGACCAGTACCCCCACCCCGCTGGCGTGCAGCGTACCACTCACGAAGCTGCAGAGGGGGGGGGATCTCACGAATGCTCTTCTGCTGTTGGTGTTGCTGGCGCGGACCACCACCGGAGCCGACCCTCTGCGCAGCGCCACCCCGACCAGCTCCACCTCCTCTGCCGCCGCCTCCTCCACCGCCGCCACCTCCGCCACCTCCGCTCCCATCGCCACCGACACCTCTGCCACCTCCGCCACCTCCGCTCCCACCGCCACCACCGACGCCCCAACCCCCGCCACCACCCCCACCGCCACCCCCAGTCCCTCCGCCGCCTCCACCGCCGCCTCCACCGCCGCCTCCACCGCCCCCGCTAGCTCCTCCAACGCCCGTGCCCCCCTTGCCCTTGCCAGTGCGGCGTCTCTCGCTAGGGGGAGACGCCGCACCGACCGACTCAAGACCAACGAGGTCGGCCGCAGCAGCAGAGGCAACAGAGGGCAAGAGAGGAGAGGGGGAGCACCCCTCAAAGACAGGGGCACGAGGGTCACCATGAGAGGCTCCTACAGCGACTATGCTCTTCTCTACTGCTAGGAGGCGCTCCTCGAGGAGGTCAACGGTGAGAGTGGTGGGGCAAACAGAGAGAAAGTGGTCCCTGACCGGGCGAATGGTGTCAGGGAGCCGGGTGACGATGTAGTAGAGGGTGATATACATAGGGGGGGGGGGTTCTTGGCGCAGAACTCAGCAGGAAGGGCAGCGCGGTAACGAATGTCACTAGTGCGAAGGTGCGGAATGAGGTCAGCGACTGTGGGAAAAGCGGCGAGGTCAGGGAAGAGGTACGGCAGGATGAGGCGGCTTAGTGCAGTAGTGGCAGGGGAAGAGTAGCGTGCAACTACAGCGTCGTACAAGGTCCTAGCACTCTTGTACTGACTAAAGTGTGCACGCTCAGCGGTGGGCAAGTGGCGGCGCACAGCAAGACGTGCAGCAGCATCGCGTGTGGCCCACTGTGAGCGAACAGTGGCGTCAGCATCAGCAGCAGGGGCAGGAGAGGCACCAGAAGTGAGGTCAAAGAGGGAGAGACCGTCTGCCCTATCGCACTGTAGGTAAAGCTGCAGGTCATCTACCCAGACGTCAAAGTCAATGGCCCGACCCTCAGCGTCAAAAGTGAGGACACTAGGGGTAGCCATGACAGCAGTAGACTAGAAGCGCGAGCAGCAGGCTAAGGGCAGCGCAGAAGTAGAGGTGCTGCTCTTACCGGGCAGGCGAGAAGGACCGAGTGTAGCGGATAGGGCGGCTCGGACGGCTCGGCGGCTCGGCGGCTCGGCAGCAACAGTAGCTTGGCGGCTCGGCGACTCGGCGGCTCGGGCGGCTCGGGCGGCTCAGCGGCTCGGGTGGCTCGGCGGGAACGGCGGCTCGGCAGCTTGGGCAGCTCGGCAGCTCGGGCGGCTCGGCTGCTGCTGCAGGGACGGCGGTGGTCACCGCTGCAGGAGGCGGCGACGGCGGGCCGCTGTAGGAGGCGGCGTCGGCGGCCATTGCTTCAGGGACGGCGGTGGCGGCCGCTGCTGCAGGGATAGCGGCGGCGGCCGCTGCTGCAGAGACAGCGGCGGCCGCTACTGTAGGTACGGCGGTGGCGGCTGCTGCTGCAGGGACGGCGGCGGCCGCTGCTGGAGGCGGCGACGGCGGGCCGCGAAGGGGCCGTAGGGGGGGGGGGGGCGCGAGAGCGGCGCAAGGGGTCGTAAGGGGCCACGCGAGGGGCCGTAAGGGGCCGGGAGGGCAGCACGAGGGGCTGACAGGCGGCGCAAGGGGCCGCAAGGGCGGCGCACGGGGGGCCGACGGGCGGCGCGAGGGGCCGCAAGGGCGGCGCGCGGAGCCGACGGGCGGCGCGAGGGGCCGCTAGGGCGGCGAGCAGGGTCGACGGGCGGCGCGAGGGGCCAACGGGCGGCGCGAGGGGCCGCAAGGGCAGTGCGCGGGGCCGTAACGGCGGCTCAAGGGGCCGTGAGAGGGGCCGCTAAGGGCGGCGCGATGGTAGGGAGGGCACGAGGGGCGCGACTCGGGCAGGAGCGAAGCGCGCTCCGGGCAGGAATTTTTTTATTTCGAGGTGGGCCCTAGAAAGCGTTCCCACTAGAGAACCTGCTCTGAAACCATGAGAAGAAACGAGGAATGGAATGACTAAGGGAAAGTTGGGTACAAGTACAAACCCTAGAAAGCTGTACCCCATATGTGCTACCCCACTATAGCCTACAACAGCTAAGTCATATAAATCTGACAATGCTCTATGCCTCTTCGGCAAACCAGCCAAGAGGCCATGCCATGAAACCAACAATGCGGGGACTATACAGCCAATTCAGGGGCCTCACAGCAACCAGGCTAGCCGGAGCAGCGGCCTTGACCAGTTAGCCGACAACGGCAGGGGAGTGTCCCCAATCAACAAGGAGGGACGAACGAATGCGAACGAGGCACCCGAGGAAGCGAGGGCACTATGGGAGGCCCACCGTAGGCGCTTGCAGCTACAGCACGTCCACCGCAGCCGTGACCTCGCGGAAACGACCATACAGCGTAGCGCCCGAAGTCCTGTGTCACCTCCCTTAGACGCCGACACTTCGCTGATAGGGCCTCGGTTGGCTCAACGGCAAGAGCGGAGGCGCCGCAAGGGAGGGGGGAGAGGAGGGCAACAGGGGTGGCTTGTAAGGGACCGGCAAGGGCTGCAGGTTGGAGGGCAGCATGGGCTGTTGGCGAGGGGGCAACAAGAGCTGCAAGATGGAGGGCAGCAGCTGCCGCATAGCGGCGGGCAAGTGCAGCTACAGCGCGGAGGTACAGCGAGGGCTGCCAGCGTGGGGGCGGTATCAGGAGCTGACGGAGAGGGAACAGCGGCTGTTGGAGAAAGGGCAGTAGTGGTCGAAGAGGTGGCAGATGGGGCGGCGACTGCTGCACCAGACGGGGTTGCGACTGAAGTTAGGGACCGGGCTTTAGCACGGCCAGCAGGGGCGGTAGAGGCCACAGCTGGGGCAGAGGAGTCTGCTGCAGGAGCGGCAGAGACCACAGACGGAGTGGCGCGGGCCGCAGGAGAGGCTGGCAGCGAGGGGGACGCTGTAGTCCCACCACAGCCCCATGACGAGGTCCCCCCTGCCCCCCCCAGGCCCACCCCCATGCAGGCAGGAGCTTTAATAGAGGGGCAGGAGGAAACATCGAGGACAGGGAATCCGGAGACTGCACCCATCCACACCCCGCATCTTTTAACCCACTCCCCCCCGGGAGCACCCACCCTTTGCCCCCATCCTCACAGGCATTCTCGCGAATTAAGTGGGGCAGCCAAGGCCCGGGCTTTTCTAGAGGAGCCCTGCTCCCCGACTATCAACTCCCAGCCATCACTACCTCTCCTTCCACCAGGTCCGCCCTCACCGGGAGATGTGCATATGTCCGAGGCGCTTGGTCCAGTCGCATCAACCCCCGCACCAACTCCCCTCCGCCCCGTACGCTACACAATTCCACAGCGCCGGTTACCGGCACCTCATCCCACTGCTAGGAACTTGCCCCTCCCCTACCATCCCCCATCATCATCATCATCATCATCATCATCATCATCATCATCATCATCATCATCATCATCATCATCATCATCATCATCATCATCATCATCATCATCATCATCATCATCACCACCCTCGCAGCCTCAGGCATCCCATGGTCACCACCGCCCTCTCCCAGCCCATCGACCCCCGCTTGCACCCGCACAGGCCCACCCACCATCCCACAACCAGCACCGTTTGGCATCTACCACGCCACCGGCTCTCGCCACCTTGGGAGGTCCCACGGGTGGATGGAGGTCTCATGTTGAGCCATCACGCCGCGCCAGCATCCCCCCCTTCCCCTCCTTCCAGGCCCCACTCTGACCCCCCCCCACAACAACCAGACCGCAACTCTCCAAGCCAACGCAGGTCGACGACGGAGGGGGAGAGCCAGAGGCGGGGAGGGCTTAAGTTCCACACCCCCACCTCCGTTTTCAGCCCCACCTGCAGCTCTACTTCCCGCCCCCTCTGCCCAACCTGCTTCAGGCGACCCTCACATGGGCTCATCACCCAGCAATCCCCCCCCAAATGAACCCTCGCCTTTGTAGGCACACGGTGGAGGTTTCCCCGGCGCAATCCTTCCCCACCAACATTTGGTTGCCGCTCAGGATGACGCCCTTCCCACTGGGATGGAGGTAGTTGGAGTTGGGGTTGACAGAATGACGAGTGAGGATGAGGCTGCACTTATCTCTCATACCCCCCTTCCCACCACTGCGTGCAGCCCCACCCCACCCTCGACAGCTCAGCTGAGAGGGCTGGAGGGTGAGTTGAGGCTGGTGCGACAACCACATGCAACCCAGCCACATGGGCCAGCGGTGCTTCACTCATCTCTCGTTGGACAAGGTCACCCTCCCTCCCTTATAGACCTGGAGGCGTCGGAGCCCTCATCGGGCTTGGGGGTGGCTGTATCTGACTTGCTGGCAATACAGAACACTGGCATACCCCTCCCTACTCCCACACCCCTGGCCCCAGTGGTACACGCCCACGAAGCCCCCCTCATGGACCTCTTTCTTGCAGCCCCCATCCTGCAGGAACCGTTTCACCCTTCTCCGATGGAGACCGATCTGATCTTCAGACCGTGCGCCTCTGACACAGATGTAGGTGCACCACTCCTGCCTGCCTCTCCCCACCCATCCCCATCACCAGCCCCACCTATCACCACGGCAGATAGTTCCGAGGGCACGGCCATGACCGACCCCACCGACACAGCGACGTCACCAGACGAGGTCGTGAGGTGCCTCACATGCCTGAGCTCCCTCGCGAACCGCCGAGCACTCCGACACCACATGCCATTCTGCCACCCTGCCGACGCAGCTCGCAGGGCGCAGGCCCTCCGCGACAGGGCCTCAGCTCTACCTTCCCTAGCAGAGCCCCGAGCCTAGGGGATGCAGTTCACAGATGCACAGTGGCGGTCGCTTGACTCCGTCCGGTGGTCGGAGTACTTTGCCCCGGAGCGCATTCATGCCCGTCCTCTTCGGCGTATCCCCCCGAGGGTCCGTGGTGGGTATATAGACATCCCCTGCGCCATCTTAGCGCGGGTCTCCCAGGACCCAGAGGCACCAGGCCCTACTCTCCTGTTGGCGGCAGCACCGACGCTCCTACTGGCTCTGGCGACACCGCTAGAGCGTTCAAACACGGCTGCCATTGCAGCGCGCATCATCCGTTTTGGACGAGGTGAGTGGGACGAGCTCATCTCTGAGGCCCTACATCGACGTACCCCCCTTCCTCTACGAGCAGCACGACACGCTCGCGCCACCACCTCCTCCCCCACACCCGATGACCGTCGCATTGCCTGCTGCCTGCGTCTGGCGGCTTGCAATGAGACCTCGTGGGCCTGCGCGGCCCTGGAGTCGGCAGAGGCGGCACCTGACACAGAGAGTACGATGCAACGTCTGCGGAGCAAGCATTCCATCGCAGAGCGACCGACTCCAGATTGGCTACCGACTTTCCAGGATACTGCCCTTGTGCTCTCTATAGATCACCTCCGCCGCGCGGGTTGTCTGGAGGACCGACAAGTTGGGTTGCCGAGCATCTTCGAGATACTTTCCTTGCTTTTCCTGAGAGCCTCCCTAGCCTGCTCGCCGTGTACCAGCTTTGGCTGCGAGGCTACTACGCCCCGGCAGCTCGGTCGCTATTGGCATCGTCCACTCTGGTCGCTCTCGCGAAACCGAACCTGGATGTGCGTCCTATCGCGATAGGTGAGGTTCTGATTCGCATCCTTTCTCGCGCAGTATGCTTACAGCTGCGGGACCAGATGGCTAGAGTTTTCCTCGCGTCACAGCAGTTTGGGGTGGGCGTTACCTGTGGGACAGAGGTCGTGGTTAGAGGCGTTTGTCACGCCCTGGATGACCACCCTGACTGGGTGGTTCTTCAGCTGGATATGGCGAACGCCTTTAATTCGTTTCATCGAGACGCCATGTTCCAGGCCCTCTACACTAGTGCTGAGTTCCACTATCTTATTCCTTTCATTCGCCTTTTCTACAGGACACCCTCCGATCTCCTCTACCGGGCGAATGGAGGGGTGACCACCATTCACTCGGAGCGCGGGACCGGTCAGGGCGACCCACTCAGCCCTTTCCTGTATGCCCTCAGACAGCGCATGGCTCTACAACCAGTTTTAGCTGAGGGCGATGTCCAGCTATGGTCATACGCAGATGACACGTGCTGGGCCCTCCTTCCAGGGTGCTACACCACTTCGCAGAGATTGTGAGGCACTTGCGCGAGCTGGGCCTTGCGGTCCAGCCACACAAGTGTCTTGTCTACGGCAGGGATTTTGTGACTTCCAGGGAGGTGGAGGCCTTCACGAGTCTGGGGATTGAGGTCGCTCGCAGAGGACTCACTGTCACGGGAGTGCCGGTAGGCTCTGACGCTTTTGTGGAGAGGAGCCTACCTGAGCGTCTGGAGAGGATGGGGCGCGTGTTGCCGTGGCTTCCGAGACTGCGCCAGCCCCAGACAGCGGCCCGTCTACTTACGGCATGCGTCAGCATGCGACCGCAGTATCTGGCGAGGACGGTCCCTCGGACCCCGGCTGTACGTGCCAGTTTTGCATGGTGGGATGAGCGGTTAGTGGAGACCTTTCAGCAGCTTCTGGTGCCTGGGACTTGGACTTGCAGAGAGGACGTTCGTGAGGCTGCCCTGGACCAGATCTACCTCCCCATACGTCTAGGGGGTTTTGGCATCCGACGCATGGAGCGTATCGCCCCGGTGAGTTATGCGTGCTCTTGGGTACGGTGCGCGCCGATCCTTTGCTCCCTTCCAGTGTGCGGCGTGAGCTTCCGACAGAGCTTTGCATCGGATGATGTTGACTAGATCGATCGATCACTGCGGACGGCGTTGGAGGGCCTCCCACGTGACATCCTCTCTCTCTTCCCCCTCTGGCACTCTTGTGTCTCTGCTGCCCCTGATTCTCTTTTCACAGGAGTGAGCCGCGTCTTGGAGGCGTGGGCCTTGGAGTCAGTCCGGGCCCGTCACACTAACCCCTTGCACCTTGCCCGTTTGACATCCCTTCAGGGCGCAGGTGCAGGCGCGTGGTTGACGGTGGTGCCGTACGCAGACTCGCTGCGCATCCCAGAGGCGCAGTGGCAGGTGGCCTCAGCTTTCCGTCTCGGCCTCCCTATCACCCAACTAGCCCTCGCAGGTCGGTGTTCTTGTGGGCAGGCGATCGACGATATGACGGTACCTCACCACGTGGTGCGGTGCTCTCGCTTCGGCGTCGCCACGGTCATCCACGACACCGTGAAATACATGCTTCGGGACTTTGCTTTTGAGGCAGGTTTCGCGGTGAAGGTGGAGGACACCACCTTGATTTTGCACCTGGAGGCAGCTAGAGCGCGACTGCAGGGACTCTCGGGGACGGGGGATGGGGTACCGGGACAGTCAGGGGCACCGTGGGGACAGCAGCAGCAGCACGGTGGGCTCGTTCGAGGGGCTGGTGGGCAGGAGGGCCGAGAGGGGCAGGATGGGCTGGCTAGTGGGGGAGAGGAGGGGGGACAGCAGCAGCAGCGGCAGCAGCAGCAGCAACAGCAGCAGCAAGGCCAGCAGGGGCAGGAGGGGCAGACCCGTAGGGGTGAGGAGAGGGGACATCATGGACAGCAGCAGCAGGGCCAGCAAGGGCAGGAGGGGCTGGCTAGTGGGGGAGAGGAGAGTGGACAGCAGCAGCAGCAGCAGTAGCAGCAGCAGCAGCAACAGCAACAGCAGCAGCAGCAGCAGCAGCAACAGCAACAGCAGCAGCAGCAGCAGCAGCAGCAGCAGCAGCAGCAGCAGCCGCAGCAGCAACAGCACGGCCAGGAGGGGCAGCGGCAGCAGGTTTGTAGGGGAGAGGAGAGAGGGCAACAACGGCAGCACCAGGAAGGTCAGCAGGGCCAACAGGGGCGGCAGCAGGGTCAACAGGGGCGGCAGCAGGGGGGTCAGCATGGGCAGCGGCGTGTGGGTCAGCAGGGGCAGGCTGCCTGGGAGGAGGAGAGGAGACAGCAACAGCAGCAACGGCAGCAGGAGGGCCAGCAGGGGCAGGAGGGGCAGGCCAGTATGGGAGAGGAGAGAGGACAGCAAGAGCAACAGCAAGAGGGTCAGCAGGAGCAGCAGCAGGAAGGTCAACAGGGGCGACAGCAGGAGGGTCAGTGGGGCCAGGCTACTAGGGGAGAGGAGAGAGGACAGCAGCGGCAGCAACAGTAGCGGCAGCAGCAGCAGCTACAGCAGCAGCACCAGCAGCAGCAGCAGCAGCAGTAGCAGCAGCAACAGAAGCGGCAGCAACAGCAACAGCATGGCCAGCAATGGCAGGAGGGGCAGGTTGGTGGAGGAGAGGAGAGAGGACAGCACAGCCAGCAACAGGAGGTTCAGCAGGGGCAGGTTGGTGGAGGAGAGGAGAGAGGACAGCACATCCAGCAACAGGAGGTTCAGCAGGGGCAGGAGAGGCCGGCGAGTGGAGTAGAGGAGAGGGGACAGCAGGGGCAACAGCGGGATGGCCAGCAAGGGCAGGTCGGGCTCCGGGTCCAGGGGGCGACCCAGCCCTTCGGTGCGGGCTGGTTCGGGGAGAGAGGGAGAGAGGAGGTGGCGGGGGACACGACGGCGGGAGCGCAGGGATTAGGAGGGGAGGGTATGGAGGGGGGGGATAGGGCGAGGGTGCTGCGGGGTTTGGGGTTGGGGAGAGGGGATGGGAGGAGGCAGGTGGGTGGGGGAGAGCATAGAGAGGCAGAGACGACAAGGGAGGAGGCACAGAGGGACCTGGCACAGCAGCAGCCAGTACAGCAGCAAAGGCAGGCTGGACGCACAGGCTGCATAGGGGCACCAGCCCGCATTCCAGACCTGACTTGCCGCGATATAGAAAAAGATTTGATGGTGTTGGTAGACGTCTCCATTGCAGATCCACAGCAACAGGGGAATACCGGGCTTAGACGAGGGGCCCCAGTGCACATAGGTGTTGCAGCAGCCAGACGAGTGCAAGACAAGTTGCGGGATTGGGCACCGCATCTAGAGGGATTACAACCGCCGCCACATTTTTATGCTTGTGTAGTGGAGACGTTTGGGTTGCTCAGCGAGCCAATGAGGCAGTTTCTAGGGCTTTGTGCGCGGCGGATTGCACAGCGGCGTAAAGACTTGGGGGGGGGGGGATGACGGGTCAGCCTGGATTTTCGAGACCGGACTCACTACACGATTTTCCGTGGACCTGCAGCGAGCGCAGGCTCAGAGTAATATACAGCACATGGTACGGTAGTTGGGAGGGTCAGACGATGGGTGGATGCCCGCACCAGTCTCTTTGGGTGCAGGGCAGGGCAGTTGGCATCACATTGCTGGCTGCTTTGAGAGCGTGGTGATAAAGTTGGAACGAGAATGAAATGACTATGAACGAAGTGAGTACAAATAGGAAACCCTAGTGGGTTGTACCCCCTATGGGATACCCCACTATAGCCTACACAAATAAGTAAGCTTTAATATTCTGACACACCTCCATAAAAAAGTGGGGGAGAACAAGGGGTCACAAGACCAGTCAAGCAAAGCAAAGCAAAGCTCAGGGTGGATCACAAAGTCACCACACATTCCGAGCACAAGTTCAAGGGCCACAAGGCCAGTTCACATGCAAGAGCATATATAGAGATATACAAGAGTCAAGCAAGCAAGAACAAGAGTATATATAGGTCAAGGTACAAGCAAGGTCAAGAAGTGAGCAAGTGAGGCAAGACAGGCACAAGACCCAGCTGCGTGCAGCAACGCTGATGATCACAAGGCGCAAGTGCCTTGGTGAAGACATCAGCAGTGTTGGCCTCAGAGGCCACGTACGCAAGTCGCAACTGTCCACGCTGCTGTAGCTCACGAGCAAGAAAGTAGCGGAGAGCAATGAGCTTTGTCCTGTGCTCCAGTCGCTGCTCTCGACACAAGGCCAGCATGGCCTTGTTGTCTACGTACAGGACTGGAGGAGAACGAGGCGGCTCTCCAAGGCCGGTCAGCAGGTAGGTGAGCCAGCGAAGCTCCTGAGCAGCCATAGCCCCGGCGTAGATCTCAGCCTCACAACTGGAGCCGAGAACAGAAGACGAGCGGGTAGCCCGCCACGAAACAGAGCCGGAACCAAGGCTGAAGGTGTAACCCTGTGACGACCGCTGCGTAGCCTGGTCGTCAGCCCAAGAAGCGTCCGCGTGCCCTGTGAGGACCTCTGGACTGCGCCCTCCAAGCACTAGCCCCATGCCCGACGTACTGCACAAGTAGCGCAACACCCTCTTCGCTGCAGCCATGTGCTCTGGTCAGAGTCTCCCAGGAGCAACATAGCGTGCGAGAATGCTAAGAGGGTATGCAAGGTCAGGTCGTGTGCAGGTCATCAGGTACATGAGGCACCCAACAAGCTCTGCATACGGACCACTCGACTCTACGGACTCATCCGAAGGCAGAGCTGAGAGCGAGTGGCGAGTAGGCAGAGGAGTGGCCTGAGGCGAGGAGTACGTGAAGCCGAAGCGCTGAAGGACCTGCTGCACCATGTGTGACTGAGTCAGGGTAATGGTGCGGCGTGCTCTGTCCCGGGTGATCTGCAAGCCAAGGTAGCTGCGCAGTTCACCCAGGTCAGTGCACGTGTGTCTCTTCTGCAGCTCGGACTTCACGTAGGCAAGTCCAGCAGTGTCAGCTGTGGCAAAGACCAAGTCGTCGACGTACACGAGGATGTAGAACGGCGGCAGAGAGGTGACGGTGCGCAGAAACAGCGACGGGTCGGCAGTAGAAGGAACAAACCCAAGAGCCGCAAGCGTAGTCCTCAGTGTGTCGTGCCACTCACGTGGCGCCTGGCGGAGACCGTAGACTGGACGCCGGAGACTCCACTGGGTACCAGGAGGGAAAGACCCAGTGAAGCAAGGTGGGCGACGCAGCCAGATCTCCTCGTGCAGGCTGCCCTGCAAGAAAGCTGTGCTGAAGTCGAGAGAGTGCAGCTCGTAGTCACGGTGGGCAGCAACATGCAGCACTACCCAAAGAGTGGTCATCTTCGGGGTGGGGGAGAAGGTCTGAAAGTAATCAACTCCCTGCCGCTGACTGAAGCCACGAGCCACGTAACGCGCCTTGAAGACAGGCGGAGAACCCGGCGGCCGCTTCACCTTGAAAATCCACCACTGACTATGTTCGCCCCAGGAGGGGGAACAGCGTCAACGTAGGTGCCTGTGGACTTCCAGGAAGCCATCTCTGCATCCATAGCTGCCTTCCACGGAGAGGAGTAGGGACCCTCTATCGCCTCCGCGTAAGAGCGCGGAGTCGGGATGTCTAGTGCATCCGGGTCTCCCTCAGGGGCGAGCAATACAGACGTGAGATGAGGTGAAGCGGCGGCCAGACACTGGACCTCCTCCTGCCTGTCCTCAAGGACGTCCGTGTTAAGGGCACACTCACCCCCGACGGACGAAGGACAGGCAGACTCAGACTCAGCAACAAGACTAGCAGCGTAGTCTAGACGACAGCGCGCAGCAAAGTCGACGAGCTGAGTGACAAGGGCAGACGCAGCAGAAGACTCGAAAGAAGGGTCAGTGACAGCAGTAGCAAGGAGACGCGTGACAGTAGGACTGGCAGCACGAAGAGAGTCCGACTCCGGGTCGGCAAGGGCAGGAAGAGAGGACTCTGGAGGAGAAGGCAAAGGGGCACGCAGAGAAGCAGTGGACGGACGCAGAGACATCCGGTGCGTGCCATGACAGGAGGAGGACGCTGACGCGAACCGCGACCACTAGTGCGTGCAGGACGAACAGGCGACGCAGGACGAGACGCAGGCTCACGACGCTCAGTAAGACCTCCAGTCGGACCAGCGTAGGGAGAAGGAGCAGGCAAAGGGGAGGCAGGCTTTAGCTGTGACTGGGACTGGACAGGCTGTGGACCCTCTAAGGGAGGAGGAGGAGGACCAGGAGAAGGTGTAAGACCAAGCATCTGCTGCAGGAGCGGAACGAAGTACGGTCGGGGCCGCGTGGCGACGCCAGAAACAGCAGGAACAGCACAAGTACTCCCAGTAGGAGTACTCGCTCCAGCAGCACCTCCAGCAGCACCTCCAGTAGCTCCAGAACCCCCAGCAGCACCAGGAGCACTGCCAGCCAGACCGCCAGCAGTAGTCTCAAGGCCAACACCCTCAGCAGTACCAGCTCCAGGAGAACCCTCAGGCCCAGCAGCTCCAGCACCAACAGCATGAGCACCTCCGGGACGCGCGGCAGACGCACCCTCTGCAGCCGAAGAACCTCCAGCACCAGCAGTACGCCTCCAGCGCCGGGCAAACCACTCACGCAGCTCCTGTGGGGAGAGTGGCTCTCGGCGAGACGAAGCACCCCCAGGCGGAGAACCTCCAGGCGAAGAACCTCCAGGCTCAGCACCCTCAGGCACAGCACCTCCAGGCGGAGCACCCCCAGTCTCAGCACCCCCAGGCTCAGTACCCCCGGGCCCAGCACCCCCAGGCTCAGCACCCCCAGACTCCGCACCCCTAGGCTCAGCACCCCCAGGCTCAGCACCTCCAGTCCCAGCACCCCCAGGCTCAGCTCCCGCAGCAGCACTTGAGTCACCAGTGACCTCGACAGGCTCGACCGCGTCTACCTGGGACACACCTGAAGGGGCAAGACCCTTAGGGGGGAGGAGGTCTACCGGGGGGGGACCTGGTACCAAGAAGAGTGGGGGCGGGGGGAGGGACGGAGTGCGGTAGGGGAAGAGGCGGTAGTAGGGTACCGACTCGTCGAACGTGACGTCCTGGGAGGACAGAACACGTCGAGTGGTGGGGTGGTAGAACTGCCACCCAGGGGCGTCGGGGGATAACCCCAGGAAGACGCAGGGAGCAGCGCGAGGGGATAGCTTGTCCGCAGACAAGTCGCCGACAAACGCCCGAGATCCCCAGACCCGGAACGCCGACGCATCGCCAACCTTCCCCGTCGACAGGAGGGCTGGGGAGGTCTCCGGCCTGGAGACCCTGGGGTGGAGGTTGATCTGATGCGCCGCGTACCTGACTGCAAACGGCCACAGAAAATGGGGGGCAGCCGCATGCATCATAGACGTACGAGCGACGTCCATGACCATGCCAATGCGGCGCTCTGCAATCCCATTTTGCTGTGGTGAGTCCGGAAGCGTGAATGTCTGGCGGATGCCTCGCGCACGACAGAAGGCATGCAGAAGGCCAGAGGAGAACTCTCCGCCTCTGTCCGAGTGCAGACGCAAAACAGGAAAGTCCGAGCCAAAGCTCTACCTGAGCCGGAGACGAGCTGTGCGGATCTAGTCGATCAGCACCTCAGTGACATCACCCTTGCTGCGCAAGGGGAAGACTGTGGTGTAACGCGAGTAGTCGTCAACCACCAACAGGAAGTAGCGCTCGTGAGCGAGCCCACGGACGCCGGCAGGGCCCCACACGTCCATGTGAAGCGTCTGCAACGGAGCCTCTGTCGGAGGAAACTGGGAGGAGTGAGGGGCAGCACGCTGGCGCCCCTCGACACAGGGGACACAGGCAGGGCCAGGGCCCTGAGGAAGGGGAGGGAGGGACCGGGGGAGACCAGACACAAGAAGACGGGAGGCCATGCCTCTGAGCCGAAGCAGAGAGGGGTGGCCAAGGCGGTGGTGCCAGAGGAGAGTCTCGTGAGACAGACGGCGACACGAACAGGGGGCAGACTCAGGACCAGACCTGGACGCTGCAGCTAACACCTGACCAAACAAAGGGACTCTACCAGACCTAGCACCGGGAGGAGAAGCACTGGTCAGTCTGTACAGGCTCGACCCTGGCTGATGTGTAAACGTAGCCAGGTGGCGACCTGTGCTAGCCTCTGTGCAGTGTGTCACCCGCTGACGAGCGGGAGTGAACTGGTGGACACCCACATCCTGTAGGTCAGCACCACTCACCAGGTTCGTAGTGAACGAGGGGAGGTAGAGACCAGTCAGGGTGCCAGAGGGAGCCGCCGGACACTGGAGGACTGTGGAGAAACGAGACAGGACAGGACCCCCAGAAGGGTCAGCGAGGGACACCGCAACCGGTCGACTAAGCGGCGTGAGAGTGG